AGCATGTTAGAAGATGTCCTCAAGTCTCTAATGACTTAAAATGGATGCAGAAGCTTCAGTTTAGCAATGTTGCTTTAAGTAGGCCCTGAGCAGTCATTAAATGGTATGAATCACACATGAATAACATGTGTATGTGACTGCAATAAAAAATGTTAACTGTTTGCATGTACTGTAAAATACTTTATTTAAGCTGGAATTGATTTTCGCTCAAAAGACTTTTTGGGTGTTTTGTATGGGATTTATTTTTACTGATTTTTGACAGGTTGAATTTAAAATATAAGAAAAAAGGTATATTCACTGGATTTTATTTTCACTGAATCATTCCTTCAGCGAAAATTAATTCCAAGTGAAAATGAAGTATTTTACAGTACATCAATTTGGTACAATGTATATGTGCCTCAATTGTCATTTGTCACATGGTATTTATTATAATTACCCTAAGTGATTATTATGCATTTGTACTTGTAGTGTCCTTATCATCAGTTGTTTAGTGTTTGTCTGATAGCCTACTCTTTCTAAATAACTTATATCACCTCTAGAGGGCACTGTTGTAATTCTGACAACATGTTTTGCTATTTCAGGACTGTGATAAAATGTTATTAAGAGACCTTGTTCTTAAATTACGACCAGTTTTATACTTGCCAGGTGATTACATTTGTACTAAGGTAAGCATGAACACAATTCTTCACATATTGGTTACTGACAATTGTGAACTTTTTCATTTGATCTTTAGTCTTTTAGCTCTGCTGTCAACTTTGTTGGGCGGAGCTTATCATATGAGTGATTGACCGATGTTGCCCGGTGTCGTCTGTTGCCCATGTCAACTTTTTACTTTTTCGAATTCTTCTTGAAAATTACAAAGTCCGATTGCTTTGATACTATACATATTGTTCATTTTTTCATGATATCTTCAGTTCTTAATTGATATGTGCATTGCTAACAGCAGAGCTATCTCAACCAAGAGGCTGCTTGTTTATAAATATTTTCACACCAGGTGACAATGGGAGTAGTTGAGCATATGTATGTATGTCTGTGCATGTGTGTGTGCATGCGTTTGTCTTTTCAACTTTGGGATGACTTACATTTAACTTTACACCTAATGACAACCCTCACCAGTTTTCGTAATGTATATTAATATTTAATCAAATATAATATAATATTAATTGCAGTTTATATTAATATAACTGTACCATACCTTCCCCCTTTACAAACCCTAAGCTTCATAAACATGTGTATGTTAAGTCACAGGATGTATGTATGTATGTTTTTCTTTAAATTTAAACTTGAAATAAAACGCAATTCTATATTGAATTGTAATGTGATTAAGATTAAACTTCAATTAAATCGCAACCCTATACAGAGTTATGTTTAATCCAAACATATATTAAAAATTAATCCAATGTGGAACGTCACAATGATGGTAAGACGAAATTCATTCATTTTTAGCTGTTCTATGACTGTTCCACTGATATCTAAAGAACTGCTCTATGGATTTTGATGAAACTTGGTACATAAATGATTAGGGAGTTTTTGACTTTAGCTGCTTATATTTCAAGTACTAATCATTACTAAGAATTAATCATCACATTATAATGAAACTTGATACATGATTTGTTCAAATCTATGCCTAATAATTGCTTAGAGGGTAATTTGTATAATAATTACCCAATTTTCTACCTATATCTCAAAAAAAACAATTATTGCATTTCAATAAAACATGGTATAAGAAGTCCCTGGGAATAATGCTAAAGTCCCAATTAGTTTTGGACTGAAATTCGAGCATACTATTTGCTTGATTCGCATAATCATGACATTTCATTTACATTTGTTTCATAGATACTCTGGGGAAATCCACAGACATAAATAGTTTAATTTTGAAAAACCTGCCTGGTACCCTCACACATCTCTGTACCTAAAATTACTAGACTATGTGTATAATTTACTTTGTGTGCAAAAATAATATCAAGGATTGAGCGATTTTACTAAAATAAAATGATTCCATTGTTTGTGATAGGGTGAAGTTGGTAAAGAGATGTACATCGTTAATAGTGGTATTGTACAAGTGATGAGTGCTGAGAACAAGGTTTTAGCAACATTGCATCCTGGGAGTGTATTTGGGGAAATAAGGTAATACCTTTTTCAATATACAAAATATTAATTATGAATATGTAAGATTGTGGGTAGATTTCTTTTGCGCTTTGCAATTCATGGGTAAACCTTGACAACATTGATGCCATATTTATTAGCCAGAATACAAGACGGTTGACATTATTTTTTTAAATCATTGTGAATTGGAACAAATACCATGAATGAGCAGAATCGTAACACAGCATATGAAAGACATTTAAATAAAACAGAACACGGTGGTGTCAACAAAATTAGCATACATACAAGGCATGTGTAATGATGAATTTATATTTGGTCAATAGCTTTACTTTCTACACTCTGCGTTTTCACTTTTTTTGAAATGTTAAAAATATATACAATTTATAATTCCCTGATAATTTTATGGGTTGATATCAGCCGACACGAGTGGTTACCACCAGATGTTTGTATCAATCCGAGTCGCAGGCGGTAGTCACAATTGTATTCTGACGTCAACCTAGGAGAAAATAATGGGATTATATTTTTATTACATGTATAATTCCACAGTATGACATAGTAAAACGACGAAGTGTTAAAAGTGGAACCATTGCTAAAATATATTACTAAATATATTGCTAAATATATATAATATAATTTTATTGATTGCATGGTGTTCTATTTCATGTGAACCCTTCGCGTACACAATTCTGCTCATTCGTGATATTCGTTTAAAATTTTCAACTGATTTTTTGGAAGGACTGAATAATAATTCCAGTATGTGACGTAACAGTGCAGTGATATGAGTTTTTGACCTGCTCTGCTCTGACAATTTAAGTTATCCATGTAATGATATAACAAATGTCTTTTCAGACATCAATCTCTAAAACTTAAGTTTTATGGTAACACCTTAAATGTTCACTGATATAATTTTACGTTCGTGAGTACTGACTTCCTGCTATACTGCTATAATATTTTGTGATTATCGCTAACTCATACATTTTGCAAAAGTTTCTATCTCAAGAATTTAAAGTGGTTTAATTGACTTTTATGTAACTCTTGCATTCTTCCTCAGTCTGCTGGCAATGGGAGGCGGTAACCGACGCACAGCTGATGTAGTATCACCAGGATTCGCTAATTTGTTCGTACTCAGTAAAAAAGATCTTCAAGAGGCCATCGTGAACTATCCTGAGGCTCAAGAGAGTCTGAAAAGAAAAGCCAAGTAAGATAAGTTTTAAACCTATCCCAGATTGCACTTGTCTATATGTTGATGTCAGCAGACACAAGTTATTACTGCCAGAATTTTGTATCAATTTGGGTCATAAGCGAGGATTGATCACAGGTGTAGAAAATATTGCGAAATTATATATTTATCAAATACATATTTTCACGTTCCAAAAAAAGTGAAAAGGCAGAGTGTTGAAAGTAGAACTAACGGTTAAAGCGAGAGGTAGTCACCTGCGCACATGCAGGAATTGAGTCCCAAGCGACGATAACAACACAAGCTAAAAACGCAAAGGCTCATGGGTAGACACATGTTGTAAACAATGACACGCTATGGCCACCTGACCCATGTGTAGGTGACAACACTCCCTCTTTAAATAACACCAAATATGAATTTATCAGAGTTATTTGGCTCGTTCATGAAA